AAAATAATGTTTGGCCAAATGTTTAGGTACTCTGTAGTCTAGTCAAAGTGCTACATGATATTAACCATTCACACTCAGTAAGTCAACACCATAATTTGAGCATGTGAATGCAGTTCACCACTGCAGACCTTTAAAAAGTCACCATGTTACCACGTATCTTTTCTCAATATGTAGCCAATTTAAAGAACAGAGAAAACCTTCAGAACCACTGCATCTTTTTCAGTATTACTGTCCAAGATAGAAAGCCAACTCACCTGGTATTAACTTTTGATGGCTCATTAAAGAAAACACACTTCCTTTATTTTCCAAATACTTAACTGACCTTCTGTGATCAGACTTAGCTCTTGCTTGGCTACGTTTTATGACAGCCACTTTATGTACCTAATTCTTTTCTGTCTGAGCTGATGACAGTAGATTGATGGAACTATTTTATATGAGGCCAACTAGCCTTCATAAAAGTGATATTGAGTGAGATTCCTTTCTCATCGATGTCATACATTTTGTCTAAAATCTCCCCTAGTTGGCACGAGTGATACATCAGTTAGTTTCATACAACCCAGGAACATTCTCGCTGCCAGTATTCTCAAATTCCAAAGTGCAGTGTTACCAGTAGGGTAAAAAGAACAGGGAAGAAAGAAGCTGGCTTTAAACAATCCTGCTTTTCTTCTAGGGGATGAAGGGTTCTGTTGCTCCTATCTGCTGCTTTGCAACATTAATAAGACAAATCAGCAGCCTTTGTTTTTCAGCTCTATGATACACCAACAAGCAAATGTTTTTGGATCACATGTCCCCCAAACAAAATAGATTGGTATTTCCTATATTTGCCATGTTCCATCTATATTTTTATTGCCAGCAGTATCATGAGGGTAAAATTCAATATTACGTATATTTTAAAATTTATTCTAAGCATGTTGTTTACAAGAAGCTCTCTCCATATCATTTCATTCATGAAATAATAGATTCATAACCTTTAATTAGATTTCTTAACTCCTTCATTGATTGGCTAATAATAATTCAACATTTACTTGAACACTAGTTCATTTCATCCTTGAACAATTTTGTCAGAAGAAAAATTCTTCCTTTTCTGAATTTCAAAAATCTCTCTCTGTGCTTTCTACATCTTGGATCATATTCTTTCCTTTAAAAGTGACTTGTGATACTGTTTCAAATATTTGGAAACAACAGAATGGTCCTCAATCCCCTTCATCTTCTCTTTGAAATCTCTACTTCTTCCATTCCTACTTCTTCATAGTGAAATGACACTGTGAATATTAGTAAAACCATTTATCAGGACCATTTATAGGATCATTTATCAAATCCTTGCGCCAGTTACTGTGCTAACCACTTTACGTGCATTGTTTCATTTAATTATCCATTTGGCAAATACTGAGTGGCTAGTATCTGTTAAGATGCTTAGACTAC